TATGGTCATCACTGTTCTTACTGACCAGGAAGGGGGAGCTCTGGACATCCTTGCAACCCACCTTCCCACAGAGGGTGAGGGAAATTACTAGATGGAGGAAAAATCAGAGAGTCCTCCCCACGCCCCACAGTTCCCAGAATGGAAGAGTCTGAGAATCACTGGCTCCCAGAATCCACTGAGCATCACTGAGGACAGGGAGAAAAGTCTCATTTCATCATGGCCTGAGAGCTCTGACCCAGAGGCCACCCTGTGGGGAAGGTCCTGACCAGGACCCCAGTATTAATGCACCCATCCTCACGAAGCCCAGCCCGCTCATAGTCAGGGATACCATGGCCTGATGCTTTTGCCTCAGCCTTTGTGACTTTCTACTTAGAGCAGCCGTGGGGATACTACGGCCCGCAGGCCGGATCCGGCCCGTTTGAAATGAATAAAACTAAAAAAAAAAAAGACCGTACCCTTTTATGCAATGATGTTTACTTTGAATTTATATTAGTTCACACAAACACTCCATCCATGCTTTTGTTCCGGCCCTCCGGTCCGGTTTAAGAACCCATTGTGGCCCTCGAGTCAAAAAGTTTGCCCACCCCTGACTTAGAGAAATCCCCGTTTCCAAGGCTTTAGGAGTCCAGATATCTGCCAACATCCCCGTAGCTGACATTTATCTTGAATTCTCCATGTGCCAGACATAGTGCTGAACATTTCTCACAAATGGTCACATTCACGCCCTAGCCTGTTTGACTCAATGGATAGAGTGCTGGCCCTCGGACTAAAGGGTCCCAGGTTCAATTCTGGTCAAGGGCACATACCTCGGTTGCAGGCTTGATCCCCAGCCCTGGTCAGGGCGCATGGGGGAGACAACCAATCGATGTGTCTCTCTCACATCAATGTTTCTCTCTCTCTGTCTCTCCCCATCCCTTCCACTCTCTCTAAAAATCAATGCAAAAATATCATCTGGTGAGGGTTAACAACAACAACAACATGGTCACATTCAATCCTCACCAAAGCCCGTTGAGGTCCATCTTGACATCATGGCCATTACACAGGTGAACAAAATGGAGACGCGAAGTAGTCAAGAAACTTGTCCCAGATCACAGAGCTGGCAGGTGCGGGGCCCTGCCTTTTGGTGCCAGACTTTGAAACCCCCAAGTTTCCTTGAGCCCAACAGTCTCAGGTTTTAAATACTAGGATGCAATGACAGGGAGGTTCTCAGGTTCTTCTGGGGGGCTTGAAGGTTGTGCGGTGTTAAGGTTGTCCAAGAATTGGTGGCTGCATTTCCTCACCTCAGGGAGCACCTCCTCCAATCAATGCTCAACAGGGGAGACCAGCACCCAGGAGCTTCTCCTGACAGGCCATGGCTGAGACTCCCAGTCCCCGGCTCCCCAATGCCCGGCATGGCCCAGGATTGTGTCATCCAGTGTTCACTCCAAAGTATCCGCAAGACTGGTTTCAGGCCTGGGGAAGAGAAATTGGAAACAGCTTTTTATTCACATGGTACAAACCTTGTGCCCAAGACCCATCCCTTCACCCCTTTGCCTCTATTCCTCCCCTCTCAATAAAAGGAGAGCCTCTTTCCTCAACTCAGACTCACCTTTCTGGAAAAGCCCAGAGGGGGCCTGTTGGCTTGGCTTTGTGAAGATAAGAAGAAAAAAAAAAAAGTGAATAGAAAAAAAAAGACCTTAAAAAAACCAGCCAACAACGACAATTGAAAAAACACACACACAAACCCAACCCTCCCTACCATTAGGTCAAAACAAAACTTTCACTGGTTGAAGCTTCTGAGTTGGTGGGACATGTCTGGGACCCAAATATGGCCTGTGTGCCAGGCATCCAGGGGATGCACCAAGGTGGGGTAAGGTTCTCAGGTTGAGACCTGTAGGAACCCTGTGTACAGCAGGGACTTAACAGTTGTGGCATATGGCTGGGAGCAAGCGGCCGGGGGTGGTGGTGGTGGTGGTGGGGAGGATTAGTGTACTTGTCAAGAAGGAGTCCTGGGAAGCTGACCCCTTGTTCCCCATGGACTTGGGCCTGAACATTTCTTACACTTGCTGAGTAACTATTAACCAGGCCAGTTCTAGAAGCTGAGGTCTCATTCCCTGTCCCAAGTCTTGCCCTTCCTAAGGGAAGGGGCTGGTTTTTTCTTTCAGGGTTAGAGGTAAGGGCTGAACCTCCCTTATGCCTTCCCAGACCATCTCTCCCTTACTGTCACAGGAGTGGCTAGAGAAAGAGGAGGAAAACTGAGAGTGGTGGCCCAAAGATTCCCAGGAGGCTACTTGAGTGAGGCTCAGGGTGTGTGTGTGCGGGGGAAGGGGGAGGCTGCTGCTGCTGAGAGCCAGGACCCTTGCAGAGTGAGAACTGGGGGTCAGGTAGGCAGAGAGGGACAGAGCTCATCACCTCTTCTCTGTACTGGACTACATCCTCTCCAATGAAGGCTTCTGGGGGACAGTGGGCAGAATTAAACAAAGAGATAGGGCTGGCTGGCATGGCTCAGTGGTTGAACATCGACCTATGAACCAGGAGGTCACGGTTTGATTCCATGACAGGGCACATGCCCAGGTTGTGGGCTCGATCCCTAGTAGGGGGTATGCAGGAGGCAGCCAATCAATGATTCTCTCTCACCACTGATGTTTCTATCTCTCTTTCCCTTTCCCCTCCTCTCTGAAATCAATAAAAATATATAAAAAACAAACACAGAAACAGAAAACCCCACAAAAAAACCAAAGAGGTGGGTGAAAATCCCCAGAGAAGGGGGTCTTTGACAAAGACTTGAAGGGAAGTAAAGGAGGGATCCATGTACACTCTGAGTAATTCCAGAGGAAACAGCCAGTGCAAAGGCCCTGGGGTGGGTGGGAGTGTGTCTGATTTTCTCAAGGTCTGCTAAGGAGGTTGTAAGGTTATAATAGTGTGAGAGAGAGGCAGAGGTGTAGGAGGTAAGGTCAGAGAGGAGACAAGAGGGTTGGTTAGTCAATGCAGGACCTTGTAGGAGGAGGCCACAGGAGAATTGTGAGCAGATGAGATTTAACAGGATCCCTCTGATTGTTGAGCATAGAACTGACTGTAGGAATAAGGGTAGAAGCAGGGGGGCCAGTGAGAGAGAGGCTACTGCAATAGTTCAGGGGACTGGTGATGGTGTTGGCAGTGGAGGGGGGTGAGAAAAGGGTGGATTTGGGAAATATTGTAAAAGGAGAGCTGATAGGATCTGTTAAAGGATGAGAGTCTGGGGTCTAGACTTGGCCACAGACAAGCCCCTAATTGGGAAGGTAGGAAGGAGTCCCTGGACTACTCACCAGATTGGACTTTTAGGTGATACAAAAATAAAGTTCTATCTATTTAAGTTCCCATTATTTCATGATTCTTCTGTTACTTGCAGCTGAACATATTCCTTTCTGACCCATGACCCCTGGACACGGAGACATGAGGGGGAGAGGAGGTAGCTGCTGGGGGGACCACCTTCCTCATAGGGATGCTTTGAGTCAAAACCTTTCACACAATAGATGTTCAGTAAATCCTCCTAGGATGGAGGAGAAATGTACGAATGAACATGCTCAGTGGACAAAAGCTACAATTGGTTCCCATAGGTGAGGCCTCAAAGGGAGAGTGAAAGGAGTTGACTAGATGGAGGAAGCAGAAAGAGCAGCTCTCTTGGGAGAGGGAACAGTAGAAGAGATGGAGGCAGATAGAAAGGGGGTGAGGCCACTGTGGGATGTGGAGGACTGAATGGGGCAAGAAGGACAGGGCTTGGATTTGTGATTATGTTAGCCAGTGTCTGCCAACATGCCTAAACAACTCTTGGTGGCATAGTCAAGCTTAGTGTTTTGCTGAGCTGCTTAGAAAAAGCTAACCTTTCCAAAAAGTTATATTTTTCATCTGGCCATTCATTCAGTAATGGTGCCAAGTCCTGGAGAATGCCGAGGATGACAATGAGGGGCATCCTTGCCTAGTCACACTCAAGCAAAGGCTTGGAGGTGGGCAGAGGAGATCCAGTAACTGCGACAGGAGAGTTCATTTTGCTTTCTTAGATTTCGCACCAGAGTGCAGTCTAGCTCTTGAGGGGCTTTGGGGATTCACAGTTCGGGGGCAATGGGGAGTCACGGAGGGTTAGGGAGCAGGTAAATCCACTCACAAGAGGCATTTTATGGTTCTGTTACTTGACCACCCCATAGCCCAGACTGCCTACGCACTGTCCTCTCCTCCTGCTTCCTTATTGGCTCTTTACTCCCGTAGGCTCTGCTCTTTCATATCTCGCTTCTATGTCCCTTTGCACTACCCTTTGAGGGCTCCACTTAGCTCTGGCTCCCCCATTGGCTATCTGCCATCTCTCTTCCTTGCTCCCGCCTTCATCCCCATCGGCTCTGTCCCTCCAGTCCCGCCTCCGACGCACTCACACACCACCTCTCAAGCTCCTTCTGGCCTCCATAAGAACTAGTTCCGCCCTGGCACCACCCCTTGAAGGCTTCAAGCAGGCTCACAGACTCCCCGTTGGCTCGCTGCATCCTTTATCGTCACCTCTCCTCTACGACACCGGCGCGTGGCTCCCATTGGCTGTTCACTGTCTCTAGCTTTCAACCACCTACCTACGCAACCCTGGGATCTCCTACTTTTCAGGCCTCTCTCTGTTCGCTGCCTGCTGCCCCCGTCGCCTGTAGCCATTCCATTTACCCCGCCACCCAGATGCCAATCCCGCTCATGCTTCCCCATTAGCTGTCCTGCTTCTCTCTTCATCCCAGACCCTACACCACCCCCATTCAGGTCTCCTCATTGATTCACCGATCACCCTGCCTCTTCCACCGCCCACTCTCTGACGTCCCTATTGGCTGCGTGCGTCTCCTGCGCTCGATTCACTGTCTATGTCACCGTGCGTGGCTCCCCATTGGCTGCCTGATACACCTGTCTGCGTCTCACGCCTTCGGCCTCCGTGAGCAGTACACCCTCCCCGCCCCCCGCGCGGGCCTTCCCATTGGCTGCCCGCCCCTTCAGGCCCGGCCCCCGCCGGTCCCGCCGCCGGTGCCGTCGGTGCCGCCGCCGATATGGCGCGCACGGCCCCTGTGGAGTCCCCGCTGCGGCCTCCTGCGCCCCCCTCGCCGGCCGCGGGTGAGCCCCGCACCTCTGTCGAGGCAGCGGTGGCCCCGCGGAGGGTGCTGTTTGCCGACGAGGCCCTGGGGCTGCCGCTGGCGCAGCTGCGCTGCTACCGGCCGTGGGGCGGGCCCGGGGCGGGCAAGATGGCGGAGGTGGCCGGGCAAGATGGCGACGGCGGCGGGGCTGACGAGGACGACGATGGCGAGGATGGGGATGAAGGGGAGGAGGAAGAGGAGGCTTGCCCCGAGCCCTCACCACTGTGCCCCGTCCCCGCTGGCGGGGGGTTTTACGTGGTGCCCACATTTTCGCTGCCGCCTGCACCGGGCCGTCTGGAGCGCTTGGGGCGCGTCATGGTGGAGCTGGAGGCGCTGCTGCCGCCTCCCGGAGCGGTCCCCGGGGGTTCCGGGGTGTGGGTGCCTGGGGGGCGCCCGCCGGTGCTGCGCGGGTTGGTGCGCGTGCTGAACCGCTCCTTCGAGAAGGCGGTGCACGTGCGGGCCTCACACGACGGCTGGGCTTCCTTCTGCGACCACCCAGCGCGCTACGTCCCGCGCAGCCCGCCGGTGGCAGGAACGGGAGGACCAGGAACCGGAGATCCCATCCTGGATCCAGGCCTTGGCCTGGTGTCCGGTCAGGTGTACGCCTCCTCGCCCGACGACGGTGGCCGCACTGACCGCTTTGCCTTCCAGCTGCCCTTTGCGGAGGGCGCGGGCGATGGGGCGCGCCTGGACTTCGTGGTGCGCTATGAGACCCCCGAGGGCATTTTCTGGGCCAACAACCACGGCCGCAACTACACAGTTCTGCTCCGGATCTCACCCGCTCCCTCACCCACTGACGCTGAAGGGCCGCCCCAGCAGCAGCAGCTGCCGCAGCTGGAGCCACAGCCCGAGTCCCAGGGTACCATGGAGGCTGAGGCCAGGCAGCTGAAGAGCTGCATGAAGCCGGTGAGGCGCAGGTAATGTCTGCCAGCGCCACCTCCGCCATCGCAGGGCTGTGTCTAGGATGGAGGACAAGCATCCTGATCCAGGAACCCCTCAGGCCTGCTCTCCAGGACAGGGAGGAGGGCACATTCAGTCAGTTAGTCAAAGAGTAATGGAGGCCAAACATGTGCTAGGCTCTGCATTACTGGGGTTTTATTCATTCATTTATTGAATTCCACTGTAAAGCCCTGAACAAGGCAGACATATTTCCTGCCCTCAAAGATCATACAGGCTCCTATGGGAGACAGTTGGAAAGAACAAGAAATGAGCAGATAAGAAACATAGGAAGCTGTTGAGGGGAAAGTAAAATTGAGCAAGGGGAGAAAGTTCAGGACGGAATACCTGGTTTAGCCGGGATGTTCAGGGAAGGCCTTTGAGGAGTTGAGTCCTGGATGATGTTAAGTAGAGTTATGCGCAGATATGAAGGAAGAGAGTTTGTAGAAAAGGAAACAGGGAGGACTTTAATGAGGAGGTGCCATTTAAACTGAGTCCTGAATGATCAAGAGGAGTTATGCCCACATATGGGAGCAAGGGTGTTCTAGGGAGAGAACAGCAAGTGCAAAAGTCCTGAGGTGGGAATGAGCTTGGTGTGAATGATAGGCAGTGACAGAGTGGAGAGAACTGCAGTGACATGGTAGTGTGGGAGCTGGGGGTGGGGGGTGGGGAAGCTGATCCCTATTTGACAGAGCAGGAAACCAGAGTTCCAGAGTGAGAAATTGGTTAAGGAAGTGATGGCGCCTGGCTTTTCCATTTCAGCCATGACTAACCTTGAAGCCTGTGCACTCTCTTTACTGTTGTGCTCTAATAGTCTGAAGTCTGCAGAGGTGAGTGGCCGACCCCATGCTCTCACAGGGAAGCATTGGCTCTGGCGGAGGCAGAATCAGATGGGCCCGTACCTGAAGCTCTTGTCCTGTGTTTTTGCCATAACACCTGTGACTATTCAGGGCCTGGGAGAAAGAACCAGTTAACCCCAGGAGGCCCTGAGACAAGATTCTCCTAGGTTTTTTATTTCTGTCAGCTTAGTTTTTCCAGGGTAGCAGATAGGCCTGATTCTTTTTGGGCTCACCTAAGTCTAGTATGGGATAGGTAGATTCTCCATGCGTGGGAAATACATTTCCCTGGTGGTGAGAGGACTGGAAATGGGAACGGGAAAGTGCTTTTTGGACCTTGTATGTTGGATCAGAAGCCTCTGGCTGCAGCAAGATGTTTGTGATCCTGGCAAGGCCTTAGGCTGTGAGTGGTTCAGAACGGCCTAGCTCAGTTGGTGGACAGATGTGCCTGGGTACTTGAGCCAGCAGGCAGGCACCCACTTACTGACCTGTGAGCCCCACAGTAACCTGAGGCTTAGTCTGAGGGGGCAGGCAACATGGCTTTCCTTACAGAATTAAGAGCGTGGATTCTGGCATCAGTGCCTGGGTTCAAATCCCAGATCTGCCATCTATATTGGCCTTGTAACCTTGGCCAACTGCATTATGTCTCAGTACCCTCATCTGTTAAACAGATAATTATAATACCTACTTCACAGGAGACGAGCAAAAGCACTCAGAACCTAGCCTGGCTCATAGCAGTGCCACATAGGTGTTAGCCAGTGTTAGTACTTAGGGAATCACACGTACAGGTCTTTGGATTCTCCTCCCAAACTCTGCTCTGCCTGTCACCAGCTGTGTGGCCTTGCCTCAGTTTTCTCATCTGCTTAAGGGGAATGACAGTCACTTTGTGTGGTTGGATTGGACGCAGCAAACATGGGCAAGGTAACAAGCATGGTAGTAGCTGCAAAAGATAACAGTGGCTGGCATGTACTGATATCTGTGCTAAGAGCTTTGTGTCTGTTCTCTCCTGAGTCCTGCTGTGCATGCTGTGTGCTGGAGGTGCTATGATTATCCTCATTTAATAGAGGGGGAAAGAGGTAGCTCAGGAGTAAGCCTGCTTGTTCAAGTTTGCTCAGTGAGTGACAGACCAAGCAGGAGATGCTAAGGGAAATTTTATTTATTATTTTTTAAAAGAATAGTTTATTGATTTTTAGAGTGAGAGAAAGGGAGAAGAGAGAAACATTGATGTAACATTGATTGACTGCCTCCTGCATGTTCCCCTCCCCCCCTGGGGATTGAGCCTGCAACCCAGGCATGTGCCCAGACCAGGAATCAAACCAACAACCTTTGGGTGCATGGATGATGCTCAGCCAACTGAGCCAGCCACACTGGCCAGGGCATAGGAGCAATTTTTAAAAATAGCTCCTCCTTGAAGACCTGATAAGATTCAGGACAAATTCTGCATTTTGCTCCAGTATATTATGCTTTGCTCTTCCTTTTTTTTTTTTTTTTTTTTTGCTTTTTTGAGTGACAGCTACATAAAGTAGACTGATCTTAAGTATAGGGCTCAATGGATTTTTACATATCTATGCCCTTATGTAGCCATCATCCAGATCTGAGATATTGAGCTATTTGTGTCCCAGAATCACCTTTTCCTAAGACGTCATTCCAGCTGGCTGTCGTGGGAGCCAGTCTATAAGACGCAACAGTTTGGGTAAATGGAGCTTGCTCATTTTAGAGTGTGAAAGGAAGGGAACAGAGAAATCAGAAGCTTGCAGGGCCAATGTGGGTGGAGAAGGTGTTTTTCTTTTAAAATACATGGTGGTTTTAAGGAGAAATTGAAGCAGCCTGTTCAGACAATTGTTTTGATATCTGGCCCCAGGTCTGTGGTTCCTAACATGACTTGTGATATTATTTTAAGTGGGCAGATGGCTTTTTGATAGCTTCTTTATCTTTTGATCTCAGCTCTTGCAAAGGGGAGGTTGGTGCTCATTGCAAGATCAACGATAAGATTTTCTTTTTAGGTTGGTGGCTTTCTTGGCGAGTACATTTCAACTTATTATTGTTTTAAAACCTGTGTGCTGCCGGTGACTTGGAGCGCTGTTGAAGAACAGCTGCCTTCTGAGACCCAGCCCTCTTGTAAATGATGGAGGATCTCAGGAGGTAGTCTTAACCTGCTGGGTCTCTGTTGTATAGGTCTTCCCATTCAGGCCATGTTGACTGTAGGCCCACTGTGCACTGGATGCAGCCACATCAGGTGCAAGCATGGAAGAAGTCCATGGTAGCCAAAGGGATAATGCTTAGAAACTGAAAAGGCTGCATTCCCTGAGTTGCTAGATCAGGCTTTTGATAAACTGTAGGCTTAGAGATAGATCCATCAGCAAGCATTTATTGAAGGCCTACTATGTGCTGGGCACAGTGCTAGTTTCAAACAGGGAAAAAGACACAGACTGGCACTGAGATGTCAGAGGGCTGGTGTTGGAACTGGGTGGAAAGGGACAGGTACAGAGGGCTTGTCATTTGAGACCTGACAGAGGTCTATGCACTTGGCTCTTTGCATGCAAATGTCATCTAATCCTTTCAACGTTCCTGGTGAGGTAGACTGTTTTATCCCTTTTCCCCAGATGGGCAAACAGGTTCCCACAGTCCAATGTCCCAGGGCTGGAGTGAAGAGGAGTCCTCCTGGTCCACCTTGATTTAACATCCTTAGGAGCTATCCTATTCCTCTTAAAAACGAAGACCAAGAAAGCCTAAGCATGGCCTTCAGGCATCCCCTGCCGTCTCCCCCAGTCTGGCCTCCATGGCTACTAGTTTCACCTCATACCGTCCTCTGCCTTCTGAGCTATCACCACGGTTTTTCCAAGGTGCCTTGCCCCTTCCTGCCTCAGAGCCCCTGCCCATCCTGTTTCCATCACCGGGAATGTTGGTCCTGTGCCCCTTGCAGTCTCCTCATTTTGATACTTCAATTCTAAGAGTGCTTCCTCCAGAAAGCCTGTTCATTCCAACTTCTTCAGGCCCTGGTTTTCCCATAGCACCTGTCAGCCAAGCAGGCAAGCCCTGTTAGGGAATGTCGTGTAGTAGAGCAGATGAGCATCATCACAAATTCAGGATCATTTCCCACCCTGCCTGGCAGCCCTATTTTTCTGATCCATTTTTGTCTCCTCCCTGATGCGATTCTTTCAAATTATTTACCTTCAAGAAACCAACTAGAAGCCATAAGACGAACTCCCCATGCCTGCCCTCTGACTTCTCTCCTTTGTGTTACAGGGGAGGAGGGGACCCTCTCTTCCCTCAGGCCAGTTCCTGCACTCATGCTCTGGGTTCCGTTTTCTTCCATTTGCTCCAGAACCTGACATAATCAGTTTCTCTTTCTCTCCCAGCAGCTTTCACTGCTCTCACCTGATCCTCTATCAGCTGTTACACATGCCAGTATCTCTACTGTCTTAATCTGTCCTTTGGTTCCACCTCTGTCCACACTGCTGCTGGCCAGTCCTAAATCACGCTCCCCTTCATTGCCGACCCCCCTCTAAAGAGTTGCTTGCACTTGTTTTCCCACGTTCTTTGGCCCCCTGCATCTATCAGATTTCATAGGTGGGTTTTTGGTTTTCTTGAAGTGGTTGAGCACTCCTACTTCAAACAGTTTCTTCCCTTGCCTTGGATGCTTTTCCTCTTAACTCCCTGGCACGTCTCTTTCTCCTTGCCTTTTCTTTTAGCCTCATATATTCAAACTTGGTATCTCCACTTACCTGATGTCCCAATGCCACAAACTCCCCTTGTTCGAGATTGAATCCATTACTTCCCACACAGTGCTCTGAGCAGCTTCTCACTCTTCTCCCCTCCCTTGCTTGTTTTCCTTCTAAACATCCTAAGCTCTCCCTGACCTGTAGTCTGGGCCATGGTCCCCTTGTTCTAGCACATTCTTTACTTTTTTGAAGGAAATGACCTCAGTTTGTGGTTAGACCTTCATTTGGGGATTATTGGATGACCCTCTGCCCTGCTAGACTGTAAGCTCCTTGAGGGGTAGGGACATGGTCTGCTTTTATTTACTTCTGTATTCCTGCAGGGCCTGCCATGGTGCCTGGCACTTAACAGGTGCTCAATAAATGTTTGTTGAAAGAATGAGTGTGAGTATTTTTTTATGTCTTCACAGTAAATTGTAAGCTTCC